ACTTTTAAAATATTTAGCTTTATTCTGAAAAGTTTGCCCCTTTCAAATGAATGGGGAAATTCTACTTAAGCATACTTTCAGGTATTTTATGTATCAAAATGTTCAAGTCTCCCAGGACATTCATTCTTCGACTCAGAATTTTGTATACACTTCACACTTCTGAAATATTTAGCTTTATTTTGAAAATTACCCCCCATTCAAATTAATGGAAAAATTGTACTCCAGCATACTTTCAGGTAAATATGCTTTCAGGTGTCAAAATGTTCAGCATTTTATTAATAAGTTCCACATACCTTCAGCTAGAAAAGCCATTCAGGTATCAAAATGTTCAGCTCTTCAAGGCCATTCCTACTTTATTGCATTTCATCCTTCAGATTATTCAGCTGTTTTAGCAATTGATTTCAGACATTTTCAAGACGATCTGTCAGCTTATCAGCATCCACACGCATTTACGACAGGAAATGCATTTCTCTAGTTATTTTTGCACTCACTCATTAGGTCACAGAGTCTTTTTGGGTTGTTGTGGTCGCTCACACCGTTACGTCTCTATGTTGTTTTGTTATAGAAGGCAAATATTTATTTAATGATGCAGTTTTTGATTGAAATGTTTCATGTAAAAGGAAATGATGGATGATTGTTACTGTAATTAGAGATTAGTATGAACTAAAACCAACTGAAAATTGGTGAAAAGGATTTGTTAATAACTGACCACTCACAGGTTTGGTAATACTTTCCTGAGATATCTTTTTTACCATCATGTTTGATATCACCAAATGGAATATCTTTGGATTGTTGAATGTTGGTCAGACAAAATGGTTAACGGAATAAATAAAATTATTAGTCCAAAAAAGAGAGAGAGAGAAACTGATGTATAATGAAAATAATTACTTGAATTTGAATTCACCAGTGAGTTTCCAAGAGTTTCAGACCGAAACCTTTTGTTTATTCGTCCTTAACTCCGAATTGTTTTCATTTGCTGCACACAGTCTGACCACTCTTAGACAGATACATAAGTGATGACCACAAACAGGTGAGGGATTTTTGATCAAAGCCAGTCTCACAGTGGGAGAACTTGTGTTCCCAAACAAAAAGGAAGCAGGAAAACACATAGTTTACAGTGTGATGAAACAAAAGAGTTTTAGGAGCTTATTCAACATAATCTGTTGATTACTTGCATTCTTTTGTTTGTAAAATGCCAGAAAATTGTTTTAGTCATTGCATGTTTTAGTCTAACCAACAGCCCCAAACTCAAATATTTTCAGGTTTTGATGTTAGAAAACAGAAAAGCAATAGCACAGGGTCAGTTTTTTGCATTTTGGATTTTTTTTTTTGTTGATTAACTGATGAACTAACAAATAATTTAAGCACTAAAATATGCTATTTATTAAACCTACATTAATAGATTGTTTGCCACTGGGGGGCAGCAGAAACATGACACACATTGAAAAATGTTACCATGCTGCTGCTTATTTACAGTTGCAGCAAACAACTTAGCATTTATTTGGATTTGTGGTTCTGTTGACCTGATGCATGTACAGTAAATTCATTAATCACTTACTTTTAGCTTTGTGCTCTCTCTGCCAGCTCCTTGGGGAAATATCTGGGTCTGTGGCTGCAAATAGTGTCTTTGACTGGATGTTGTATGGTGCAGGGCGGGTTGTCTGGTTTTCAGAGCTTTCTGGTCAAAGAACAGCTGCATCTGTGGGTGGAAAAAACAACTAAATATATACAGTATGGGAGTCGGTGTAAGGTTAACTTGCATCTTTTCTATAGCAACTGAAGTAAATGAAGCCTCATTTGTATACAGTTTTTTGCAGGTGTCCCAACTTTTGTTGTTTACTTACAACAACAGATTCTCAAAGGCAGGTGTGAAGCATTATTTGGAAAAAACAATTAACAAATGAAGTCTGACCTTTTCAGGGTGTCATCCTAGACCATGACAATGAGCAAAATAACACCTCCAGGTTGTGTAGAAGAAAAGAACAAGGCCATAGGCTTCAAATGTTGGAATAACCAGACTTTCCAGATGAGGAGTGAAAGTAAAGCAAGCTACAAGTGCAACATATGTGTGGGGACATCTGCAACAGTGCTTTCTATCCAAATGGTATTTGATTTCAGTTGGAGAAAGAATGCTACAAATGTGTTCCACTGTTTATGATGCCAGAAACAACTGAAAAAGTCGAGGTGTTCTAAAACTTTTAAGCAACACTGTACATACTGTACAGTTGATCCATTGTTAATATAAAAATAGTGATTGGAGTAGCTTAAGTGTCTGTAATCAGGGCTGAGTCTGTAAACTGTGTGTACTGGAAAAAGAAACATGCTCCTCCTGTATCTCATACTTGGATCCCTTTTAGCTTGGTGCCACAGCTAGTCGATACTGACTGAAATGGTGAGAGTGAACAGTGATAAATGATGTCCAGCAGGTATGTGCGTTAATGTGTTAAACCTCAGGAACATCTGTCTGCTGCAGACGCACTTAAACCGCTCCGCCACCCGTATGTAAACCAGCATCTGTCCATTCACTGCTGCAGAGGCAGTTGTAGTATAACACTGTTGCTTTGCCAACATGATCCCTGTGTGTGTGTGTGTGTGTGTGTGTGTGTGTGTGTGTGTGTGTGTGTGTGTGTGTGTGTGTGTGTGTCTCGCTTGCTCTCTTTCTGGATCATCCCTCCATCCGTCGTCATGGTGACCTCAGCACTGGCGCTGTGGCACACTTGGCCTCATCATCTTCCCTTCTGGTTGACTCACGGCACTTGATTTGCTTGTCAAATCCCTGATATCTGCCCCCCAACCTCCTCCCTTTTCCTTCAGTGTAATCAGTCACCACGAATATTTACTTTAACCCCTGACAGCTACTAAGGAGATCTTTAATTTTTAGTTTTTATCATTTGCAGACAGGATAAGGATATTAAATTGAGAGGCAAGTAAACAGAGGAAGTGTTTTGTTATCCAAGAACTAATTGATTTTGACAGGAGGAGATGAGGTAAACAGATCATTTAAGAACTTTTACAGTGCTGTTACCTCATTAATCCATGATATGTGTGTGTGTGTGTGTGTGTGTGTGTGTGTGTGATTGAGTGAGGGAGTGTCTTTCCATCCCCATCTTCCTCCTTATCTACACCCTCTCCATCCATTATCTCTGTGCGCCACAGTCTGGTCTGGTTTGCCCTCTGACTGTCCTCCAACATGTCAACATCCTCTCCAGGCTGTGTGTGTACATCTTTGTATATTTGCATGGACTTTTTATTTTGATACCATTGTTGTGAGGATGTTTTGGCTGATCCACACACCTTCTAAAGGTTGTTTTAGGGTGTTTTTTTTTTTTTTTTGACAGGGTAATGTGAAAAATGAAAAACCACAAAGTCAGAGGGCTCTAGACTAAACACATTAGTACACTGAATCAGTTTGTGCAAAGCATGTTTTGAGTAGTTGTCAGAAAGCTTGGGATGCTTTGTTTGGCTGAGATTAACTTGGATTTGCCCTTGAAAAAAGTCATTGTCTGTCTTGTAGTGTACCATGACCCAACCATTTATATGCCTTACAATAAAGGTTAAAAGCAGAGCAGGGCAATCCATCACTGGATCAGGTTTGCACATGATGTGTGATGAGCACAAAATGGCGCACTCCTGACCCACCACTCATGCTGGTATGTAGCGATTGACACTGAGCACAAACACACCGGACATTTTCCTCTGAGATGATCAGTTTTTCTTAAACTATCCACCAGTCTGGGTTTATTATATACAGATACAGTGTGTTGTAGATAATCACAGACATTTAGAAACAAAAACACGGAGTCTGAGATAAACCATAAATAGGATTAAGAGAGGAAGAGGAGAAAAAGGAGATCTAGAAATCTTTTAACCTACATTGTAGACTGTTAGTGCTAGGAACTGAGAATAGAGACTCTTTCCTCTCTTACTGTTTATCTTGAATGAATATGTATTAAAGATGCAGAGTTTCCACTAGTGAGCTCGCAGGGTGACCCAGACTTGATGCCTAGCTGCTCCACCTCTGTCCACCTCAGTGTCTCAGCTGCTGTCTGCTCCTTGTGTCGCACGCACTCATTTTCACTCGTATATGCAAGTGAAATGTTTGCACCATAGAGCCCTGCCAACATCCTCTTTTCTCCTCCACTTCATTGTTAGTTGTTATGCAGAATAAACAGGAGAAATAAGAAACTGGCAACCGTGACAGGATGAAATCAACACAGTGTGACCTTGGAGTGTGTTTGTTTTGTGTTCGCAGATCAAATGCCTGGACACGGGGCAAATACATCTTTTCTCACAGTAGCTAACATCTTCTGTTTTTCTTCTTGCAACATCTCTGTTGTGCTCTGCTGCATATTGTGTGTTTATTTAATACAGATCTCCTGTTACATAGATTAACCTTCCCACTGGCCTTGTGCCCACATTTACACAAACCTGTCTCTTCCAGACACACACTCTGCAGGTTTATCGATCCCACTGTAGCACACTGCATGCATTTTCGCACAGTAACGGAGCCCCTCCCCTGTGAGTGTGATATTGATAAATACGGACTTCAGGACAAGTTCATATGGTCAGACAGGACAGAGATGGAAGGAAAAGGAAAACGGACCGTTTGAGATTAAGTAATGGAGTAGTAATGGATAGAGATGGTGAAAGAAGACGTACTATAGATACAGTGTACTGTGTTATATTGAGGTTTTATCTACTTGCATTAGCATCCTCATGCCCACACAGCCATGCTGTGCAGCCAAACATTGTTTTAATGCACTTATTTTGCATTTTAGTGGAAATCTCAAAGTGTTGAGAGACACCAGATGTGACCATAATAATAATAATATGTATATAGCCATATGAAAGTTATTTTATGGGAACTTGAGCTTTGTTGTGTGCTCAGTGTGTTATTCTTCCTCTTGTAAACACCATCAACACAGGGTGTATAGTTGTACTTACTGGAGCTCCTCTGTCCATATTTCATCATTAATCCTTGATGTTTTGTATTTTTCCAGATTGGCGCCTATGACCAACAGATATGGGAGAAGTCAGTGGAACAGCGAGAAATAAAGGTATGTGAAGTTTACTATTTGTTTGCCCCACACCTCCATGTTTCTGTTGTTACACTTTGCTTTCTTTCTGTGGTGTTACTCAAGTCTCTTTCTTTGACTTTTACTCCTCCACCTTTCTCTTTCTTTTTCCTTTTTTGTTGTCTCTCACCATGCGTTCTTTTCCAGCATTTTCCTGTTTTAACTCTTTCCTCTCTACTCTCCTGGCTCGGTGTCTGTCCCCTGCCCATCTCTCCTCTCTGTCTCCATCCCTTCTTTTCCTCCTCATCCTTTCTACAGTTTATTTCTCTGGTGAGTATTCAGCGTGCAGGACGTCCCCTCCCGGTGTCTCACAGTGCACGTCTGCTCACTCACGCTGTAGACGACTAGACTGTGACTGGTTGTTTTGATCCCTTAGTTGAGTTGTGGTGTGTTTATTAACCCCACTCTGCATTCACACTGTAGCTGTGCTGCTTTGTGATTGAGAAAACTTCTTCTTGCTGCCAAAATTAAACTGCAGTTGGGAATTCCTCCCTGTCAAGTGAGTGAACCAGGAAGCTCTGCTGTTTCTGTGGCACGAGCCATGTGATCAGGGTGGCACCAGGCAGTGTGAAATGTTAGTCTTTCTGTGATTGGCCAGTCCTGTGTGTTCCTCTGGGAGGAGACATTACAAATTTAGGAAGTTCAGCACATTCTTAGTCTCTGCCAGTTGACATGAGTTCACACATGTCCTTCCTCTCATTCAGCTGGAAATCAAAAGCCTTTGTTTTTTGTCAGCTGTGAGTTTCTTTGTGATGTAGAAAATCACTTGCTGTCACTGCATTATTATTAATGTGTGTGGGGGGGGGCTAATATTTCACACTGTGTAGTGATAACAGTTCGAATCAAAAAGTAGTAAGTGGTAGGAAGTGGAGAGAGGGGCTGCTGTGGCAGCAGGAAAAACAAGCGTCTCTGTGCATCACTTTGAAGTTTGGGCGTTGGTTGCACCTGTGTGACTGCATGCCGTGCAGTGAACTCATCATAGTCCCTTCCTTCTCAGATTTTATGAGATTGTCTTACATCTAAGGTTCCTAAAGTGTAGTTTGAGGTCATGATGAGGTTTCTTGTTTTTAGGACAGGATTATGTTTCGCTTTATAGTGAATTATTTAAGTTAATCATGGTGACAAAATAGATTAAAATGGTATATTTTGCATTGGCTTAGTGTCCGAGCTCTACGTTTGCCTCCCTCTTTCTATGTACTGTGCCTCTTGTCCTGTAAACAGAGAAGTGAGAGAGACCTAACAGTCCATCTGGTAATTGGTCTCCCAGAGTATACAGCTGTAGCAGATGTACAGAGTTTATCTTGTCATGTTATAGATAGAGAAATATGTTCCCCAGACTTGGCTGTATATGCAGAAAGATATGGTAGGTGTTACTAAATGCATATACCGTTAAATAGACTACAGCCAGTAGCCGTTGGAGTCTGAATGCACGGTGTGGCTCCTCAAACACTGAATGTGTGTGGGTTTATGAAGGCATCAAATGCACGTGTTCCTGTAGACCTGTGAAAATTCAAGGAAATTGCTCATTTCTTTTGTGGCCTGGTATCAGCCATTGACTCTGTTTCTCTGTCTCCTCCCGCAGGGCTTGAGGAACAAGCCGAAGAAGACAGGACATGTCAAACCAGACCTCATAGATGTGGACTTGGTTAGAGGTGAGAAAAAGCTGAAGTCATCAGACACACACATTGTCTGCTCAGTAGCGACATAAAACACACATGAACCTAGGATGCCAGCATTGCTGTGACAACCTCCTGCCACTGTAAAGTCTCACCTTTTCTGTCTTCATCTCTCTGCATCGCGCTTATGTTCACCACACTCTGGATTATCAAATCTGTCAAAGTTATCCTCATTGTTTAATTGCACAGGAAGACAGTTGAGAAATAAATGCAAAAAGAAGGCAGATAAAGAAGATCTGCAGAGATAAAAACACAGAAGGGAGAAAGAGGAGTCCCAGGAGGAAGAAAGAGAAGATATACAAGGCTCTCATGTGACTCCAGAATGTATCATGAGAAGTTTCTTTTTTTTTTTTTTTTTTTGCTAACTGCAGAGTCATTAGCCTTAATTACTTCTCATTAAACTAAGTGTGTGTATTCATTCACTTTCTCCCCAGGATCAGCATTTGCCAAGGCCAAACCAGAGAGTCCGTGGACATCACTGACCAGGAAGGGCATCGTCAGAGTTGTCTTCTTCCCCTTCTTTTATCGATGGTGGATCCAGGTCACCTCCAGAGCCATCTTCCTCCTACTGTTGGTTCTCTATCTGCTGCAAGGTAGGTGTTTGAGACGTGTCACAGGGCTGCCAAAGGACGTTGCCTGCCTTGGAATCCATTTGGCTTCTGTCGTTGTTTCATTTTATATCCAATTTTCCTAGTTTTAATAGTGTTAATGAGGTTCAACAATCTTAAGACGTGTTACATCATCAGTTTAACATTCAGGCATTCATTTAGTGTCTAGAATTGAATGTTTAAAGTGGATGTTTAAAGTTCCTCAGCAGCTGTTACTGTGCATCTAATCTTGTGTTTCTTAAAATACACACTCATAGTCCACTATGTCTTGTGAGCATGGAGCGCTCCCAGGCTACACCCACAAGGCCGCACACACTCGTTGCACCAACACTTCAAAGACTGAACAGTGTTTTCCACCCCGTTCATCGTGTTGGCCCTTTCAGCACTGAAAAAAACAGGCTGTTATTTTTCATCTTTCTTTTCAACCTTCTGCCCTTCCTGTTCACTTCCTTCACACAACACAAAAACACTCACACACAACTTCTCTGTGATTTAATACTGCAGTGGAGTTAACCTAGTTATAAACAAGTAATTTTTGACCATTAGAGGGAAGGCATACAAAACAAACATCTGAGTTATTGTAACCATTTTAGTTTGTTGTGACTAACATGATAACAATACAACCATCCCATAAGATGCATGTTTCAGGTAGCCAGATTTTTTTTATTTTATTTTTTTCCTCACGGGCACCGTCTTAATCCAAGCTGGATTTTCTTCAGGTCAAACCAGTGGTGACTGTGGCCTCACAAAGACTGGGCTAGGGTTGAAATGTTGAACACAGTTGTGGTTTGGAGTCCTTGCGTTCCACTCGCTCATTGCTGTTTCATGCTGGGGAAGTAATGTACAGTTGGCTTGTGTCAGTGTAAGCGCAGGCTGATGAGAGCAGTGAGACTAAATCATGAAGTAACTGTCCAAACTATAAAACCAGAACCATGAGATACAGAGACATAAAGGCTGTGCAGAGCTGCAGAGTGTGGTGAGAGTTACCTCAGTGCAGGTTTAAGCAGCAACCATTATGATGTTGATCAGTTTCTTTGTTTATGATGTTGTAATGAATGCCATTTTTCAGTTCTTCTCTCTCTTTCTCACAGTGGCAGCAGCGGTCCTGTATATGACCATCCCTCAGCCTCATGGGATACCAGCCACCGACGTGTTCGGAGCCATCTGGCTCATGTTACTGCTGGGCACCGTCCATTGCCAGATCGTCTCCACCAGAACACCAAAACCTGCCTCCAGCAGTGGGGGAAAGAGACGCAGGTAAGGAGGGGGGAAGAGACAGTGGAAACTGTTGAGGCAAAGTAGTGCTGAACAAGTAAAGGAATGGCAGAAGAGTTGGGGTTAGGGAAGCATAACGGAGGATTAGATGGAAACAGGTGACACAAGCAGGAAAGTCACACTGCACCCAGAAAGTCTGCCTGGAAAAATGGGGGACGGGAAAAGATGAAGACCTATAACAAGCATGAGATAGAAATTGTGAACCAAATGAATTTCATTTGTTGCTGGGTCGTTGCTATTTGCTTTTGCCAAATTCTCTATCAGCTTCTTCTACAAAACATCTAACTCAGTCTTAGCACTGGCACGTTTGTCATGGAGAGATGTTTTCTGCTGTACACAGACTTTATTATAATTTTAATTAAATTTTTCTAAATGTTATTTGCTTTGTAATTGTCATTTAAGATCAGTTTTTTATAACCCAACACTTGAAACAAGTATTTGTATTGTAATACCCCAGTTCTTTTATTGGACAGATCAGAGTAAGGAAGGAGTCCATCTTTCTTGATTTTAGTGCTGGTTTATTTAAAAAGATATATAAATAAAGATTACAGAACACAGTCCGGGTGGCTCCCTCCTTCAGACAAGCTGCTGGAGAAGAGAAGCTCTCTGGAACACAGAGCCTAATACATTTATATGATTTCTTGAGCTAACCCCCTTACGCAAACAGATATAGAATCATCACGAGTGGAGACAGTCCGACATTTCCTTCTCTTATCTTATGCTCCACATGCGTCAAGCATTACTCAGAACAAATGAAGAACTCCATGTGTGTGTACAGTATGTTGTTACATGGTTTGTAACTAAAACAATCATTCAGACATAAATCTAACACCAGATTAATAAAGGAAAACAACTGATGTCAAGATACACTTTTCAGATTTAACCTTGAAGCAAAGCACAAAAGAGCAGACTTTGAATCTTACTAACTACATTAAAGTCATCCGCAAACATCATTAAAGTCTATAATTATCTGACTGAATTATTAATTTCTAACAGTATTATACCTCGATTAGATAAATTACCACTAAATGCGCAGAGATTTGAGCTTTTGCATCCCTAAAATCGACTTTGTTACAAATTTAAAAAGTTGTTTGACTGTTAATTGTAAAATCTTAGTGAAATCTCTCCCTGATAAATGTTTGAAGAGAAGTGGGATCACTGTGTGTGAAAGCAGAGTAGTTTGCTTTAGTTGGTGTGTTTTGTAGTGTTGGGTTTTGCGGTTTATTTTCTCTTTGTTTGAAGCTTGTGAGTGTGTGGCTGTTGTTTCCCCGTTCAAAGTGATATAAACAATTTTCAGACTCTTGGGAAGAAAATTGGACCATGCCACAGTTTTGGAAAGGCTTTTGGGAGGTTATGAATTCCACGGTGTTTGCTTTTCACTGAATCAACCTTTCTTTCCCTTTTAAGGATGGAGGGAAAATCATGAAAAGGCAACTATTTAATACAAATTTAATTCTCTTCTCTCTCTTCAGCTCATGCAACTCTTGTCATTTCATGTGATGACCACAGAGAGAGGTCCATCACAGGACACTCATCGTACATTGCTAACCCATTTGTCTCTTTCACTTTAAATAATAATTGGTCACCTACTTACATGCCTTCAGGTCACAGACCTTGTGACATTAGCATCCAGATCTTAACATCATTGCATTTAGATGTACTGATTAAATAACTGGTGATAGTTCAGAGAAATCCATCCTTGAGCACCCTGATTCATCCTTTCTTTAGTTCTGACCTACACCTCTGCTCTGTGTCCTTTATATTAATAACCAAATAACCAGGTCTATAAGAAGCAATTCTACAAAATGTTACTTTCATGGTAATATCCTGCACAAGAAGACACTGAGCTAAAATGCCTCACTTTGATTCATGCACTTTACTCCTTTCTTCATATTAAATGTTTTGTAAGTCAATAATATAAATTCAAGATGATTATATGTGAAAACATCTTTGTTATCTGCGGCCAGGTCCTTGGTGGACACAGTGCTGGAGTTTCAAGTTGCGCTCTAAGTGTCTCTCCACCCTCTATTCTTTCCAAACTGAAGGAAGTTGAGGAAGGCATATCAGATGGAGGTGCATAGGGAAGGCGACGGTTCTAGCACTACCGATAACACACAGGACGGGGTGCCACACTCCCACTCCGCCAGCACCACATACAGCCTGGGCGCTTTCTTCCAAGATTTCTGGCATGATATCTGTAAAACTGGGTGTGTATTTTGGCTTCTCATCTTGCTTAAAAAGTGTACAGAGACAGGGCTGGGTTTCAGGTCAAGTGGATTAGCTTTGGTCAATTCTAAATTTGACTTTTCTCCAAAAATTAAATGGTCTAGTATGATTAATACACAAGGTACCTGTGTAAACAGTAAACACTTTGCATGATAAACCTAAATGTTGAACTGATAAATCAAGATTATTTCAAAGTCACAAACTGAATCCTGGCCATGTCTCAAACCTAATCTGGGCTTCTGTAGCTGCAACGTTACCTCCTTTCCTATCACACACTAAACATTTAGCCTCCTGGAAGAGGATGGAGAAAATATTTTGTCCATTAGTAAATTTGTAACTGCTACACCTTTTATGAGAGGAGGAGAAGGATTTTTGCAGCTAAATGACTTGCTGATCAAGCTACTTTCAAAAGGAGCATGAGGCATGGTTCTTTACTGGAAAAAATTCAGTGTTGAAAAATCATTTTACCCTAGTAAAAGTGTATAATCTGGATTTTGTTTTAACTCTCTGCCTCTGCCCATGCTTCTGCTTGGAGCAGCTTTCAGCAGACTGCAACAGCGTGGAACATTTCTGGCCATCAGTAACTCTCTGATGTGATGACTTTGTCCATTGATTATTTGTCACGTGCACTTCGGACACTCTCATCTGTCAATAAATATTTCTCAGTGATCCATTTATTAATTCACTAGTTCATTAATTAATTTACCCACTGGTTAGCCTTTTTAAACTTTTAAAATTCTTGTGAGGAAGATGTTTTGCTAACTTTTCATGAATAAAATCAGACTGCAGCCTAAATTCCAGTTTAAAGTTTTTCTCACCTACGGTTCTCCAGTAGCTTATATCTCGTGCAGCATTTTTCGAGAGATGTTGTTCAGATCTAATATGGATGTGTTTATTAAGGGTAAATGACTTTGAGCAGCCTGGTTGGGATGGGGTATAAGAGACATTGATTTTTTTTTTTTTTTTTTTTTAATGAATGTTACAAAGTGTTGTGTTTAACACATCCTGTTAGTGTGACTTATCTCACTGCATGCTGACTTCTGAGAGCTCACTTCCCTGCTGCCTCTTTTTCGATTGGTTTCTCCTGCTCTCCCCTCCTTTCCTTTACTTCCTCCTAAAGATCAAAGAAGTCCAAGCTTTCCATTGACAAGTCTACAGAGACTGATAATGGATATGTGTCATTGGATGGCCGGGTAACAAATCGCAGCAGTGAGGAGGGGCTTCAGCTCCACGAGCAGCGTCGTGATTCACTGAACCGAGCTGATGAGGTCTGCTGGAGCTCGCAGGTCCCGCCCACACATGGTCACACATCCCGCAGCACAGGACTGATGCTGGCCAGTGGCAGTAAGGTGAGCCACAAATGTTTATTATTGGTTTATCTCTGGTTCACAGTTTAAGCATTTATTTAAAATCAAATAAGTTGCGCACTCCAGGATTGGCCAAAATGTCTGCTTTGTATCCTCTAGGAGCCAGCGTCAGATGAGGCATCCAGTGAGGAGGACCCTGAAGCATCCTATAGCACCCTCCGCAGGGGAGTTGAAAGAATGAACAGTGACTGTACATTGCGAAACCGCAAGAACACACAGCACTACAAGAAACACTATGTTGTGGAGGTAAACGCACAAGGCGACATGTCAACTTTTGAGAGCTGTTTATTTATAACAGAAAAGAATATGTGCAACAACCCTCTGCCCATCTTCTGTCAGGATGTCCCCAAGTCTGGCACCAGCTGCAGCTCCAGGTGTTCCAGTCTGAGGACACAGGACTCAGAGAGCACTCGCCACGAGTCAGAGACAGAGGACCTGATGTGGGAAGACTTCCTGCACTGTGCCGAGTGCAGATCGTCCTGTACCTCAGAGACAGGTCAGAAGAAAATAGCACAGAACCAAATGTAATCAGCAAAAAATGATTTAAGAGGGTTTTGTTTAAATGCCTTTTGTGACCCTGACGTACCTGCCGAACCTGCCGAACTCATTGTGAAGTGGCGTCCCTGGTCACATAACTGGTTTATTTATGCTGATGATGTGCAGATTTACCGTTAATGCAGAGTGATGTCAATGCACTAGCCCCCTTGCACAGGTGTTTGCATGATATTAAACAGTGGCTTGCACAGAACTTCCTTCATTTGAATGAGGGGAGGACTGAATACCCTGCTTTTAGCCCAGACTCTACTCACATTGTACCCAGCCTAGGAGCTTCAGCCCCTGTATTCACTCAAATTGCGGCCTCAAATTTCACAAGCAGATTAGCTCTCTGGTCAAAATAAGATAATAAGTTTCTCTCAACTGAGGCTCTATGCAAAGCCTTTTTATCTCAACTCGACCTAGAAAAAGCCATTCATGCTTTAATTAGCTTGCGACTTGACTACTGTTACACCCTCTACACTGGAATTGGTCAGTCTCTCCTTCATAGTTTCCAACTAGTACAGAACGCAGCTGCTCACCTACTGTCAAATCTTCCAAAGTATGCTCCAAAGTATCAACCCCTGTACTTCAGTCTCTTTACTGGCTTATGGTACAGTTTAGAATTGATTTTAAGGTTCTATTGTTCATGTTCAAGGCCATTAATTGTCTTGCTCCAACCTATTTGACTGATCTTTAAACTATTTATACACCAGTCAGAGTGTTGCGCTCCATTGAGCATTTGTCTCTGGTTGTCCCGCAGGCAAGGTACAAAAAGAGGGGTGATCATTATTTTGCCGTATATGCCTCCAAGCTCTGGAATACCCTGCCTCCTTAGCTTCAGTCTATAACTGAGTTAATGGTTTTTAAGTCTAAATTAAAAGCATACTTATTCAGACTGGCTTTCAGCATTTAATTTATAGCAGTGGAGCTATACAGGTGCCTACAGGTGCTTTCTGATTTTATATTCTGTAATATTATTCTGTTTGTACTTTGACACATTTTTATTGTACAGGAGTTTTATAGTTGCTTACAGACCTTGTTTTAAATTTGTGTAATTTTAACTTTTTATTATTAAGGTTATTTTAACTTTTTCTTAGTTTGTGTCTTAACATGTTCTGGTTTTATTTTTATATGTTATGTTGTGAAGCACTTTGAGCACCCTTGGGTGTTGTAAAGCGCTATATAAACAAATAAATTAAATTAAATTGAGTGATGCCTTTTCTTTACAGAGGGAGAAGGAGGAGGAACACCTGTATGCCCCACTGCTAAAAAGGAGTATAGAGACGACCCTTTCCATCAGGTCTGTGAACGCAGTAAGATTTGGATTGTGTGGGACAAGTTTGAATGAGTTGCAATTCTAAATATTTACTGGATTATATATAATGTGGGTTAAATTTGGATAACTTTTTTTTAAGCCTGGGTTATATATAACTTATTTCAGAGTAATTTAAAAGAACATAAGTCAAGTCAAGTCAAAGTGTTTATTGTCATATGCACAGTACTGAAACGCGTTTCCCTGTACAATGAAATTATGTTGCCGTCACACTGTCCACATGAATGCCACACAATTCAAATGAAATATAAAGTAACACAAAATCTAAGGCACTTTAAAGCAGCAAATGGAGATATAATAAAAATATATAAGAATATAATAAGAGAACGTATGCTACATGAGGAATCTAGCCACAGGGGTTGCAAGCCAGTGACTTTTGTGCCGGTCCCAAGCCCGGATAAATAGAGCGGGTTGCGA